GGTTCAGAGGCAGCTCAAACACCGCTCCCGTGCCCTGCTAAGCCCCTTGAGTGTGGTGGGACAGGACACCCAGGAAGCTCCTGTCATCACCCACTTCTGAACTACCGTTGGGGCTTTCCTCCTCCTGCGTTCCCTGCATCACGTAACCCAAGTCCTGGGTTTTTCAGTCCTGTGGAAAGTTTAGTCTGTCCCCACGGTGTCACAAGGACCCACTACACAAGCACATGGCAGAGGCTTCTATAGGTTTACCAAAGCCATTGATGTTCTCTAGCACCCAAGCCAGATCCTGCAGCACAGGTTCTGATCTGCTGCAAGTGAATGTGAAGACTGTATGCCTGTGAAAAACCATACACAGAGACAACTTGATTTCACCATCACAGCCTGTGACAATATCACAGAGATGGAGTCTCATTTCTATGGGATGTTAATTCTCAAGTTATATGATGGTACTTAAAACAGGAAACTTTTCAGACAATTTAGATGTACAATTTGCCATAAAACTACTCATGCTCCTACTGCAATTTGAATATAAATTGGAAAATTGCATTCACAAATAAGCAATTGAGTAAACAGCAGAAAGAAGCAAAGATGCTAATTCTCCTTATTAGCTTCAAAGCAATATAATATATAATTTTTTATGTAAAAATTATTTTTTGTAAGTGTATGTTACTTCAGAGCAGGGCAAATGTTTGTGAGTAGCAGATCTACAAGTGGAACACATATACCAACATATATGCCTCATCTAACTGTCATGTCTCTGATTAGATTAATTCCACTGATTAAATAAGATTAATCTCTGCACAAAGCACACAGCTGTCCTTCAACGTGTATCCTACACTATTCTCTTGAAATTCTGCAAATTAAAAAAGTGCATTTCTATAAGTGCAGTGAGAACTTCTATAATACTTTCCCAAATACAATACCTTCAGCACTAGCTGTTCAGTAAGAAAGAGAGCAAAAAATTTCCAAATTCTGAAAAGATTACTTGCATCACCTCCTAACCTTTGAGGCAAAGAATTCTGAGAATGACACGAAATATTTAAGGTGTACTTCAAAGAAAGTATTTTTGAGCAACACAGAATAGCTCTAAAGCCCTTCTCCATAATGCTATTTAATAAAAAAGCCAATTGCAGCACATATGTAAGTATAAACATGGTCTTGGCAGTAGCAGCAGTGACTGGGGAATCTCTTGAGGGTAACAAAATCTGTAACCGAGTTACTTCTTTACAACGCTAGCCACCTTTACTCAGCTTTTCCAGAGGCAACTGTTCAAAACTCACTCTGGCGGCACCTGCAAACACATCAGTACCTAAAAGGAGCAATTTTACAAACACCCAGTAGGAAACTGATCATAAAGACTGCATCAGTTCAGTATAAACCATCAACGTACCTGCCACAGATGCAAGTGTAGGAAGTGTGGCGCATGCCACCTCGAGCGTAGCAGTAGTGCTGGAACAGGCTGCAAAGAAAGAAGGATGGTACTTAGTAATATATTCAAAACCACCACAAGACAGGGAAGAAAGCACATCTTGCTTGAGTACAGCTGTGTCGGTGCAAATCCCCAGCTCCCTGATGAGGCTTTCTGCCCATTTCTGCTCAGCTGAGCACTCAAATTCACCCACATCCACAGCTCAGCAGCCCTGCGGAGCATCACGCGATTTCCACAAAGCCCATTAAGCAACTCTGCAGCAGAGAAGAGGGGCTCAAGTGCAGCTCAGTAACATCAAATGGCAAACTGCTTTCCTTAACAACTCCACATAGAAAAGGAAATTATTGTTAGCAAAGGGTAGTTCATCTGACCACAGAACAAAGGGGATGGTAACAGTTAAATGCTGAAGCTGGCCAAAGTGTCCAAAGTGGAGCTGAGAAAACCACTTGCTGCATTTCAGTTACACAGTCACATCCACGATCCTTATTTTCAACCCTGCTGCCTTCAGTCTATGGCCTGTAGACTCTACAAAAGTGAAATCCAACCAACCCTTCACAGGGAAGGAGCTTGCCAGGCAGGGTAAAGCTCTTCTTCAAAATAGTTTCAGCAGAAGCTCTCTCATTTTTAGCACCTCACAGATACCCTCTGCTGAAAGCTG